TCCCCAACGCCCCCTCGGTGTCCCCAGGCTTCCTGAGCACGGGGGACCAGGCGGCCAAGGGCAACTACGGGCTGCTGGACCAGATCCAGGCGCTGCGGTGGCTGCACGAGAACGTCGGCCACTTCGGCGGCGACCCGCAGCGCATCACCATCTTCGGCTCCGGCGCCGGCGCCGCCTGCGTCAGCCTGCTCATCCTCTCCCACCACTCCGAAGGTACCGAGCCCGGAACGGCCCCAAAATCACAGAAAAAGGGCCCAAAATTCACCCAGAATGGGCCCAAAAATCACCCCTGGGGATTCCTCCTCATCCTCTCCCACCACTCCGAAGGTAAAGAGCCCGGAACGGCCCCAAATTCACCCAGAAGGGGCCCAAAAATCACCCAGAACGGGCCCCAAAAATCCCAAAGGAACAGCCCCAAAAATCACCTAGAACGGGCCCAAAAATCACCAAGAATGGCCCCAAAAATCACCCAAAACGGGCCCAAAAATCACCCAAAAAGGGCCCCAAAATCACCCCTGGGGATTCCTCCTCACCCTCTCCCACCACTCCGAAGGTACCGAGCCCGGAACGGCCCCAAAATTCACCGAAAAAGGGCCCCAAAAATCACCCAGAACAGCCCCAAAATCACCCAAAACGGGCCCCAAAAATCACCCAGAACGGCCCCAAAAATCACCCAGAATGGGCCCAAAATTCACCCAGAACGGCCCCAAAATCACCCAAAACGGGCCCAAAAATCCCAAAGGAATGGCCCCAAAATCACCCAGAACGGGCCCAAAAATCACCCAGAACGGGCCCAAAAATCACCCAGAACGGGCCCAAAAATCACCCAGAACGGGCCCAAAAATCACCCAGAACGGGCCCAAAAATCACCCAGAACGGCCCCAAAAATCACCCAGAATGGCCCCAAAAATCACCCAGAACGGGCCCAAAAATCACCCAGAACGGGCCCAAAAATCACCCAGAACGGGCCCAAAAATCACCCAGAACGGGCCCAAAAATCACCCAGAACGGGCCCAAAAATCACCCAGAACGGGCCCAAAAATCACCCAGAACGGCCCCAAAATTCACCCAGAATGGCCCCAAAATTCACCCAAAAAGGGCCCCAAAATCACCCAGAACGGGCACAAAAATCACCCAGAATGGCCCCAAAATTCACCCCTGGGGATTCCTCCTCATCCTCTCCCACCACTCCGAAGGTACCGAGCCCGGAACGGCCCCAAAATCACCCAAAACGGGCCCCAAAAATCACCAAGAATGGCCCCAAAAATCACCCAAAACGGGCCCCAAAATTCACCAAGAATGGGCCCAAAAATCACCAAGAATGGGCCCAAAAATCACCCAAAACGGGCCCAAAAATCCCAAAGGAACGGCCCCAAAATTCTCCCTGGTAGCCCCAAAAAATCACCCAGAATGGCCCCAAAAATCCCAAAGGAACGGCCCCAAAATTCTCCCTGGTCACCCCAAAAAATCCCAAAGGAACGGCCCCAAAAATCCCAAAGGAACGGCCCCAAAAATCCCAAAGGAACGGCCCCAAAAATCCCAAAGGAACGGCCCCAAAAATCCCAAAGGAACGGCCCCAAAAATCCCAAAGGAACGGCCCCAAAAATCCCAAAGGAACGGCCCCAAAAATCCGAAAGGAACGGCCCCAAAATCACCCAAAACGGGCCC